TTGTCCTGAGCAACAAGGAGTGGCTGAGTGCTCTTTGATGGGGTAGGGCTGCTCAGTCACACGGAAGCCACCCAAGGGTCCCCACAAAAGCTTCTGATCCTTACTTCCACTGAGTCTGCACCAAGGGTTGTCTCTCTTCCTGCACTATCTACCCCAGGCACATGTCATTCCCCCCCACCCCTTGTGCCCCTGTGACAGCTGATCCTTGTCCTGTCAGCCTTCCTCAACCTGATGCCTTCCTTGCTTCCTCCTCAAGTCCTATCTCCCTCCCTGCCTGCTTGGTAGAAGATGGAGACAGCATCTCAGACATTCCACAGGATGAAACTAGACCATCTCTAAGGCAAGATCCCCTTTAAAGATCTGTAAGCCAGGAGCTTTCCGTCCGTGCACTGGTCAGAGCTGAGGCCTGACGGAATTTTTCTTGACTTGAATGACCAGGGAATCCCCTTTCTGGGCTATATCGTCTTTCCTCAGTACCATTCCTTTAGCCTCTGAGTCTAGCTGGTATCCTCGGGCTGCTTCTTTCAAAAATGATGTCCACAGGATGAGCAGCAGCCACAGCTGCCTGGCTAGGATTCAGAAGTATCTCTCTCCTTTGAGAGTTCTCAGGGTGTGTGTGTGTGTGTGTGTGTGTGTGTGTGTGTGTGTGTGTGTTGGTGGGAACAAGGGTGATCCACAAGCCTATTTTCTAGATGAAGAACCTGCACTGTTGAGGGAATCCAGGAGCTTAGAGTCATAGGGACAGTAGACAGATAGAGAGAGACTAAGACTGAAAGACAGGAGAGAGAGAAGAGAATCCCAGACCAGCATCATTTGAATTCATGAATACAGTAGATCTAATATTGCAACATTCTGACTCATGAGTTAAGGGGCTATGATCTTTTTCTCTGACTTTTGTATTGCATAAGTCACTTCCAGAAGTATTGGAAGAGAGAAAGAAAAGGAAGAGAGAAGGCGGGGGGGGGGTGGAGATAGTAAGGACACACGTGTATGAAAGTGTCAGAGCCAAAGTAGTACCTTGCTGTGGAATGACTGTCATCAGACTCTTACTTGCTGTGGACCCTGCATGCTACCCTACTGACCTGGCAAGGCAAGGTGTGCCCACTGGTGTGACAGTGGCGTCACTGTTTCTGCTTGGAACTGAGGACTGCTCCACCAGAAGGAAACAGGGTTTGGTACTGTACACGTGGTCAGAAGCCCATGACATAGACCACCACGAGGCAGCGACGAGCTACTGCTATCATTTTTCTAAATGGATCTTAGGTACCAGCACAAGTGCCTTCTGAGTATTTATATCAGTGCCCATGGGAGAAGCTTTCTGTTGCAATGAGAATAAGTGTTGAATGCTTGGCCCTCAGTGAACCATTTCTGCCACTTCCTCCAATGCTCATGTGGGGTAGCAAGAACGTAAGTGGCGGAGGAAGAAGCAGAGTGTTGTGGAATGCTGGCTTCTGGGCATGACGTGGCACCTATGATTATCTGCACAAGACTGGGTGTGTCAACATTTTGTCGAGTGGGGAAGGGCTCACAAAGTCCCACTCTTCCCCTAGGATTTATAGTTAGTATTCGTTGAGGGAGGAAGAGACGTTTTATTCGGTGGTGTAGCCACTGGCAGGAGCATAGGCAAAAGCTCCTGGAAATAACTCTCACCCATGCTTCTATTTGCAACCATCATGAAACTCACCAGGGCACCAACAACAAAGGTGTGAAGGGAGGAAAGTGACTGTTGGAGGTGGAAAAGGACCAGTGATGGCTGGGTGGAGCCAGAGAGGGTGATGGAGGACAATCACAACATCCATCGCAGACAGAAGAGCCATGTCTGCCATTATAATGAAGCATCCTGCTATTGTTTCGACCATCTCTTCTCTTCTCATCCAGAAGCAACTTCCTGCCCACAGCTCAGCTTTGTCCCCTCTACCACATGGCAGCCTCTCTGCTCCCAGCCCCCTTTTCTACAGCACCCAGCCTGGCTTCACATGCCAGAGACCTCTGAGCATCAAATCATCTCAAGACGTCCATGCATTCTTGTCTAACAGACCAACCCTAACACCCAGTCCAGGGTGTTGAATCTGTTGATGTTTCTGGGCAGAGGGAGCGATGGTCCACCATTTATCTGCCTAACATCTCTTTTGGCTCACTCCTGCCCAGGCCGTGTCCCTGAAGTACTTTATATGTTAGACAGCACACAGTGCTCACACACTTTGGATCTTGTGAGCTCTTACAGTTTGGATCCTGAATGCCCTCTGAGGGCCACGTGTTGAAGGCTTGGTGCCCAGTCTGTAGTACAACTGGGAAGAGATGGGACATTTAGGAGGTGGAGCCAAGTAGGAAGAAATTAAGTCATTAGGGCTGTGACCTTGAAGGGGATACTGTGACCCCAGACCTTTTCTTACTCCCTTTCCTTCTTAGCTGCCAGAATATGAACAGGCCTCCTCCACCGTCCACTGCTGTCAACACACATATCCGAAGCCCGGGATCAAACAACCCTACCCCGAACCCTCTGAAATTGTGTCAGAATGATTCTTTCCAGTTAGTGAGGTGATTCTCTCAGGCATTGTGATACAGTGACAGGAAGCTACCACACAATCTGAAGTGACACCACCAGCAACTTAATGTGTTCCTTCTGATTCCCTCACAAGCCTTCAGATTGCCATGACAAAGCCCCGACTTGTCTGCACTGGACTTGTTTCTGTGGGCACCATCTATCTAAGCAAGTGGCTTATGACTTCATAAAAGCATTTGTTAATAGGGGTGAATACACACAGAAAACCACAAGCAAATGAGAGGTGATACTTGGACTTGGCAAAACTGGTGAGTCATGATCCATAGGATGGGATATGGCTTGCTCTCCCGGGTCTTGGAGGTCCACAGGCCGCTGCTTTTAAAGCCTGCCGTGATTTGGATGTCATTTGCCCCAGCAAAACTCATGTTAAGATTTGGTTGGCTGCCAACGCAGTGACATGTGGAGGTAGCGCCTTAAAGAGGGATTAATGGCTTCTTCGTGACACTAGATGGGTTCTCTTGGGAACAGACAAGTCTCAAGAGCAGTTTGTTCCAGCTAGCAATTTCCTCTCACATCTGCACATGCCCGCCTGCCCTTTGGTCTACCGTGGCATGAACCAGCAGGAGGCTCTTACCAGATGCTGCTCCCAGGCTTTGGTTCCAGCTGATACAGACCTCTTCCCTTTATAAACTACCCAGTCTCAGGCATTGTCTTACAGCAGCCAGAAGCATTTTAGGACAACCCCACTGAAGACTGCGATACGTATCCAAGATAGGTCTCAAACAGCATGAGACGGGTCTCACACAGCACGAGATGGAACTCACACAGTCCAAGACGGGTCTCACGCAGTCCGAGATGGGTCTCACACAGTCTGAGATGGGACTCACGCAGTCCGAGACGGGTCTCACGCAGTCCTACCTCCCAGATTGCCCACCCTTTTGTTCATGTTCTATTGAATGTCATCTCCATACAACCTCCATACCAACCCAGGACAGTCCCATTTATCTCATAGACCAGGTTCTGCATGAATGGCAGGTCACATAGCAACAATTCATCTACCTCTCCAGGCACTACTTACAAGAGACACAGTCCCCACCCCAGGTTGAAGACAGCTGGAAGGCTAATTTGATTTCAGGGGTGGAATCTTACCGAATGACTCAGGATTGTCCAGTGTCCCTGGCAAACGATTCCCAATACTTTCCTAGGCCACCTTGGTGGCTGATACGATGCTCTCTGTGGAGCTGGGAGATCCCAAAAGGACAAGACAATCCTCCCCCACTCCTTGTCCAGGGCAGGTATTTAACAGCACAAGAAGTTGAAGGAACTCTGGCTGAACATGTGGAGCTATTAGATCCAAGAACTTGGGCCTGGGGGCCAGAGCCTGGGCAGAGAGGAAGTCTCAGGAAGGGAAGGTGACACCTCCAGGGACAGGTGCCAAAGGCTGCCCTTAGCACTGGCAAACGGGATCTCTCGGGATAAACAAGTCAGCGAGCACCCAGGGATAGAAAGAGGCCAGAGCAGAGGGCCTGATGAGATTCGGTTCTCACTCAAACCTGCAGCTGAGTAACCTAACAGGATGCTAAGCCCCACCCCAAAGGCTCTGACTCATAGATGAAAAGAGAGAGAGGCTGTAAATAGGTTATTTGGGGTTACACTCCTAGAAGCACAAGGTTGCAGGGTATGCATGAAAAGGAAAGAATCCATACACACTGCAAAGATGGCCCTGAACATTGGACACACAGCCTGGCAGGGATGGAGCCCCATCACGGTTATTTAAAACACACCACACTTCATTCAGTGGCGATATGATCATAGGCATGCTACAGGGTAAACCTGAAGGGACCCATCTACAGCCCAGAATCTCCTCTAGAGACCCCAGGAACCACCACCTGAAGCAGGAAACTTAACTGTGCAGAAGTCTGGGCCGAGGCCATTTCTAGCTAAAGAAATGCTCCTTTGTTTGCGTGACCAGGCAATTGAATTGTTCAGAGATTCAGTCACCCAGGGAGGAGGCGAGCCCAAGAGGCTTCAGTAGGTTGGGTACAAATGGCCAAAAGACGAAAGTGGATCTTGGCTCCCAGATCTTTGCCTTTGGTTCTAGCCTAACTGCCTCCTTAAACAGACATCGGAATTGAAAATTAAAACTGTGTGGGTGGGGTATTTAAGATCGTACCCAGCAGCTGCCCCCTTTAAAGATCTGGCCTTCAGAACATTCCAGGCTGGGTCACTTATCAAATGGAGATTGACTTTTATCCGATTAACCCATGGAGAGGCATCCTTCTCCATCCCACAGGAGCATTCTGGGGGAATAGCTTTCTGCAGACTGCAGGGGAAAGTTGGGCCTTGGCTTCCCTCCCGCTCGGCCAGTGGAAAATTACAAAGAAGACAGAGCTGTCCTCCGTCTCATCTTGTTCATCAGCCCTTCCCGGGCACAGGAAAACATATAGAGTAACCCCCTCCCCCCGCAAATAAAACCAATGAATGATCCTTCACTTACCTGGGGCGGATAGTAGTCTGGGAGGTGGTGGAGGTGGAGGCGGAGGGGGTAGAGGGGGTGGGGGTCGGCACTGGCAGATGTGTTGGCAGCTGTCAGTCACCTTAGAACAAGACTTCTGGGGCTCAGCATGCGTCACCTGCAGATACGAACATAGCCAGGAGACATAGGAGGCCACGAGATAGCTAGAAACTGAACTGAGCCTGCCCCAGGTCCCTTCCGGGCCACAGCTTGGGATTCTTCATTAAGACCAAAGTAGACAGAATAGACAGGAGTCAAAGGGGCTAATCCCAGGGAGTGGCAGTCTTTTCCACCATCTAAGCCCCGTACCCACTTCTTATTCCTAGAGACAGCACAGGTCAAACCCTCACCTTTCAGTCATAGCTTATTCAGTCTTTCTATGTCTGTGAGGGGCGGTGTCCCCCATCTTAGAGAGGGAACCTACCTGGCTGGGCCTTGGTCTGTATCACATGTGATCAAGGGGCAGGATAACCTCCTGATGTTCTCTAGATAGCATCTGAGTAGTTTGTAGGGCACACATCTACCAAATCATCCAGTCCCTCCCTGCTTCCTCATATCCAGAGGACTTCATGGCCCACAAGTCACAGCATAAGCAGCCCTTGGCAAACCTCCATGCATCTGCCTTCCCTGCCCCACCCTCCTGTCATCCCCGGCCACTGCATATACTGTCCTGGTGGCTGGAATGTCCTCCCATCTGACCCACTTTGTCACCATTCAGCCCTGCTGTCCCTTCCTTGGCCAGGCTGGATCTCTTCAGAGGTCTCCTAGTATCAGGTCTCATTTCCACTACTTAGTCCCAGCCCGTCTTCACATGGGATTGTAAACTATGCCAAGACAGGGCTCTGTCTTGACTTTTCTGTCACTGTTAAAAACCAACACCCAAGGGAAGGGCCCAACATTCCCAGAGAGCTCGCCATTGAATGAACAAATATCAAAGACAAAGACAGAATCTGTGCCTCGTAGGTACTGGGCTTGGGGTCTTCCCAGGATGGGTCTCTGCATCTTGATGTTAGCTATAGTAGGCTGTGATCGACTGGTTCCTCACTCTAGCTGTGCCCTGGAACCCAGCCGGCAGGTTCGGCACATTCCTGCCTTAGCCTTACCTATGACCAGCCAACTGGGACTTTTGCAGGGGAGCTGTGCCTAGGGGTTTTGCTTTAGTCTCCCAGACAAACACAAAGAGAGCCATCCTAAGAACCATGGGTTAGACAGTTGCCAGTGTCCCTCCATATGCATAGGACTGTAAATCCAGGAATCCAAAGTTGACTTCAAGACCAGAAAAGACTTGGGGGTAGTCCCTTGCCTCAGTGAAAGGCACAGTTAATTATTCTGGCTTCACATAGGCAAAGAGAAACACAGAATACCAATGTCCCTGCAACTTCCTCCAGTCTGTCACTGCAGGTGACTCCCCTAGGGTCCCTCAGATGTGTGAGAGAGGGCACAGGACTGAGTGTCCCCTGTGTACTTGGTGGCACAGCAGATGCATAGTGGATGTCAGGTTGACAGTGAGAGTTTGGACCAACTTACAGCCCCAACTTACCACCTAAGAGGTCAATGGGCTCCTACAGACTACCTCTTGGTATTTTAAAGAGTCACTGACTATGTTTCTGACCCTGGAAGGCAGCCCTGTCTCCCGAGGGCAGGGTATATCCTTAGAGTATGCACTTCCTTCGTTCCTGCACCAATGTGACTCAATTGCCAGAGTTGGAGGTGAAAAGACCAGACTCTCTACCATGTCTGAGCCTCTCCTGCAATCAGGCCTGACCCCTGCCCTGCTCTAGACCATCACTGTCGGAGACTCAGAGCCCAAGTGTGCAAACTTCACACCACGCCCAGCCAAAGCAATTACTTTTCTAGTTTCCGAGACACACTCAGTGCAGGAGAGTTCAGGAAGAGCGCATTGGTTTGACCTGGCCTGACACCATGACGTACTCTTTTGGGAGAGGATATAAGGGTACAGGTCTACAAAATGTTTAAATGTGATCAAATGACAGGCAAGAAAATTGAGATCAGTTTTCAAGACTGAAGGAAAAAGAAATGAAGGAGCTTGCTCATTGCATTTTAAAAATCAATGGCTCCTGGTCTCTCATGTGAGGGCTCTGCAGAGACCCAAGGGAACAACTGTCTGGCCTCACAGAAGGGCCAAGTCTGAGCTGGCTGTCCTTCTTGCCAAGGGGTTCGCTCTAGCTGGGACCCTACTGGAGTTTCCTATAGGTAGTTCTGCATGAGCCCAAGACTGATCGGTCTCTGTCCATTGAATTCTTTATCCACCAATAGGCTTCTCTTCCCCTTTCAAAGCCCTTTCTTACACAATGGCCTGGGACAAGCTGCTCCTGCAGCCTGCCTTGGGCCTCCCTGCTCCCTACTGCGCAAATATCTCCTCTTTGGGGCAAGTCCCCTGTTGTTTTACACTGTCTGTCTGCTCACACAAAACTACAGGTGTCTCGGGCAGACACATCGGTGGCTTGTGCTATGTTCGTCCTGAGCAAGTGACATGCTAAGCCGTGTTAGCGACATGCTATCTTCCCTTCAGGAGGACAGATATGGGAAGCTTATTAGCCACACAGAGATGATCAGCCTAAACAATGGACTCGGTGTCCAATCCAACACTGTCAGAGCTTGCCTTAGGTACTTTTCTCCTTTACTGTGAAGGCTTCAGTTTGATTCAGGGACATCCATCATGGTGGGACCTGCCCAGCAGCAGGAGACTGATGTGACCAGTCACCTTGTGTCCACCGTCAGGAAGCAGAGGGACGTAAGTGTGGACAGAGGCAAACAGGCACTTTATTGGGAACAGGGCTAGAGCTCATTCATGGGATATTCTGGCTGAGAATTGGGCTGTATATTGTCCTGAGAATGCAACTTAAATTCGAGACCAATTTGTGTGACTCTCACATTCAGTGTGGATGTTGCTTCCTAAACATGTCTGAAACTTACCTGCCTGTCTCCATTCCCTCTGTTACTTGAATCCATGCCTACTGAATAGTACCTGCCTCTTACCTAATATTGCTAGGGAAACTTCCTTGTTAAATCTGAATGGTGGATAAACACTAAACAACACTGTTACTGACAAATATCCCCAGAATCATATGGAATATACTTAACGCTAAAAGCGAAAATGGGCTTTGCATCCGCTTAATATGGCAAACCTGCCGTCACCATAGACCTCTTTGCCCCTTGTCTTGTGCCGTGGAACCAGAATCCATCCTCCTAGACAACCTAGGCTGAGATGTCTAAAAAGTGACAATCTGAGATAGTATCATGTCTGACTTTGAACTCTCCATTGTCCCCAGGAGTCCTAGAATCAAATCTCCAGTACAAGACAGTCAGGGCCTTGCCTGTTCCTCTTCTCCTGGGTTTTTCCATGCTTCATCCTTGCCCTTGGCTTCAGCCTGTTCCCTCTGTCAAGATCCTGACCTCTCTCACTTCTCAGTGGTGGCACCTCAGGTGGAGGTTTCTTGGACTCTCCTTCCAGGTCTAAGCCATTTGTTCCTCTTGAGTGCTTTTGCCTACATTAACTTGTTTAATGGCCTCGCCAACACAGCCTGTCAGTGCCACAAGGACAGGGACCACAAGCCACTTGCCCTTGACACACAACCTGTCATCCAGGTAAATGTTGCTGCTGGAAAAGGCAAGCCAAGGGAGCTAAGTGTAAGAATCAGCTTCTGCCAGATCTGGGAGAGCTCTGCTTTTGTGTCTGCTTACAGGCACGCATAAGCCAGATCCAAGCCTGTCTATCTGGCACTTGCTTTAGACGAGTGCCCACAAGGATGATGGCTTCTGGCATCTCTTAAGGAGATAGGCCAGTACCACAGTAACCTGAGGAGACACAATCCTGTCACACTTAATAAATCTGCCAGTCCGTTGTCCTCTTCCCTTACAAGAAAAAAAAATCGACTGAAGTGAACTTAGAAGAAACCCAAATCACAAAAGCTCCGTTCTGGACACATTAAGGGGGGCGGTGGTTAAGGAACGTCCCTACCAACCTTTGGCAATTAAAATGCCATTGGACTTAAGCAACGCGGTGTCTTATCTTGCCACAGCCAGAGGCTTCTGCCAATTTCAAGGGAGGAACCTGCCGCACGAGGGACCCAGGTTTCTTGCCTCATCAACTGGTCCATTAATCACAAGACAGTTATATGGAGCCTGTCTTTTAACCCTCTGGAGGATTCATTGGAAGGATGCTCATGGAAGCAGTGATGGTTTCGAGCTCTTTCTCTACGTTGGGGAAACTCCTATGACCTGACAGGTTTATCCTCTCCACTTAAAGAGGAACACAGCCTTAAGAGCTCACAAGCTTCTTCGTCCCTCCTGTGTTCCTTCCCGAATTCAGCTCTCCTGCTCAAAAATAAGACCCATACATTCCCAAGCCCCCTTCCTTTCCTCTGCTCTCTCGGTCCCTATCATTTGCAGATTAATTTTCCAGAGCTTCAAGCCAAGATCTTGTCCGTTCTATTTAGCTGGAGGATTCTTTTTCTAATTGATTTTCATGAGAATTGATTTGTATTGAGTTTGAGAATCTGAAACACACACGCGCAATTGCTCCCGTGAAAAGCTGCCTGGCTGGGGTTTTTGTTTTGCTTTGCTTTATTCATCCTTTGAAGGGTAGGCAGGTGGCAGTGACTCTTCTCTTTAGATCCCTCTAAAGTGTGGGGCAGCCAGCACTCTAGTCCCAAGGCAATGTTATCAGTGTTCTCTCGGTCCTAACGGAAAGATCTTTGGGAAGGCAGAGAAGGAAGCATGTGCATGCACAGACAGGTGAACTCCGTGATGGAGCCCAGCTACAAGTTGAACCAAGGGACCTATTCTCAGTGGTCCAAGTGTTGAGAAGTGACAACTCTGAGTTCCAAGAACACAGAACAAGTTTAAACAAACCAATCATAAGCCAGAGGCAGGCCAGAGCAGAGAAAACTGAAACATTGGACTTTGCTGGAGATGGGGTGTCTCTGAGGGTGATGGAGATGCAGGGGTCTGCTCAGGGATGGCAGAGCAGGTAGAGCCATACATCCCAGTAACAGCAGGGACAGCTTCTAACCACATTGCCTGGCATCCAGGTGAAGTAACCAAGTCAACAAGTACTGACTCCATAGCAGGACGAAAGGAGAAGGTCAGGCTCAGAGAGCTTCAGGATGCTGTCCAGTTGCTTAGCTGGTAAAGGACAGAGCTGGGCACGGGAATTCTGGGCAGGACTAGAGAATGTTCCATCCAACCTCTCTCTGCCTTGAGGAGTAACTACAGCTGGAAGGTGCTTGCTCAGCCCCTGCTCTGGAAACTGGGGGACCAAAGTTTTTCTCCTCTGGCAGTCTCGACAGATGCTCTGCATGAATGGCAATAATTCCTCCACCTCCCCGGCCATTATTTACAAAAAACACAGTCCCCACCCCAGGTTGAAGACCTTTAAAGTTCAGGGGTGGAATCTGGTAGGAAACAAAGAACCATAGTGGGATTCTTTTTCTCTTTAAGTTCGTTTCTTTTCCCAGATGCTGCAGCAGAGATTACAATGAGGTCTCAGTACCTTTCTGTGCCAAGTTCGGTCCTGCCGGCCTTAGGCCACAACTGTGGCTCTTTATGAAGCTTATCTTTTGGGGGTTAGAGCATGCTTTTCTTTCTCCCCCAACTGTATCCAGGATCAATCAGCGAGTGACTAGAGAAACCGCTCTGAATTAACCCCACCCCCTTCTCAGGAGGCCTCAATGGTCTCTCACCTGAACGAAGCCCCAGAGAGGGTGAAGCGCACAGTGCAGCAGTAGTGAGGGCCAGCAACAGCCACGGCGCAGCACCAGGTCCCGGAGTAGCATCTCGATCCGCGGCGCCCACTGGTGGGCTGAACTGTCAAGGGAGCAAGGCTTGAATCAGATGGATACTGTGCAGGCACAGTAGCATCAATTCACGTACCAACACGGCGAGAACTCACTTGCCACGCACTTTGGGGCACCTACGCGAAGCAAACCTTCATTTTTGTTCCAGCGTGTACACTTTCTGACTCTCAGTGCATCCCAGAACTCACACCCAACCCTGGCGCACACCCCCTCCCCCTCAGAATACTGCATGCACACCTTGATCCCATACACGCCTCCAGAAAGACTCAAACACACCAACTGAACCTCAGACCGCCCCAGAAACCGCCTTGCACAACTCTCAGGAAGAGTGAGCTTCAAACCCGGCGAAAACCACTCACTCTGCGCGCGCAGGCACTGTGACCCCCGTGCACTGCCACCGACTCCCGCCCGCACACTCTTTGACTTTGCATGCACAGTACCACCAAATCATTCGCTGCCTGCAATCTCTCTGCCTCAGGGACTTCACTGCGCACACTGGTACTTAGGCACCTCGGTGCGTGCCCCCATTGGCCGCCCAAGCCCTAGCTCCTGCTCCCCTGCAGGCGTAGGTTTTCCCGAACACCCCCATGCCCGCCCGCACCCCTCCGATGCCTCAAGCCACCTTGTCTGGCGGCGAGTCCCACCGATCTGAGACACGGGGAAGGGAGGTCAGGTGTCCCCCCACAGCTGCTCTTTTTCTCAACGGCAGGACGGCCCCCATTTAAAGCCAGCCGCCTCCCCAGTCCCCCGCCCTCTAGGCGGGGCCTCCAAGCTCACCCTGGCGGCTGCGCGGGCGCTCGGGGGCTTCACACGCAGCGGAAGAGCGCGGGGCGCTGGAGCAAAAGTTTGCGCGCCGCTTGGGCCTCTAGGGCAGCTGATGTGGGGACCCGGGGCGCGGCGCGCTTGCACTGAGCTCCGGGCTGCGCTTGGCCGAGCGCGGGCCAGGAAAGGCGGCCAGCCCCGAGCCCAGGGCCCAGGTTGGACTGCCCAGGCAGAGGGCGGGGAAAGTGTCCTCGGATCCTTGGGGAGCTGGCCGC